GGGTACAGGAGAGGCAGAAGAGGAGAGGCGGAGAGAGAGAGGAAAGAGAGAAAGAGAGAGAGAGAAGGAGGGGGGGAGAGAGAGAGGAAGAGAGCAGAGATGGGAGGTGGGCAAGGCCCACCTTTTAAAAGGGGACCTAGCGAATGAGCACGGGAGGTGCTCTTAGTGGCTGCAGCTGAGGATCCATCCTGTCAGGACCTCAAGGGCAGGCCAGTGCAGATGCCTGAATACTAACACCCATAGACCTGCCCATCTGTCTATCTCTGTGTGTGTGTTTATCTGTCTGCCTGCCTGTCTGTGTGTGTGTGTGTGTGTGTCCGCCTGTTTGCCTGTCTCTGTGTGTCTGTCTGTCTGTCTGCCCGCGTCTGTATCTTTGTGGGTGTGCGGGGGAGGGTGTGTGGGTATAGGTCAGAGGTCAACCCCAGATATCCTGCTCCAGTTCCATCTACCTTGTTTTCCAGACAAGGTCTGTCACTGGCGTGGGACTCACCAAGTAAGTTTGTGTAATGTTGAGAGCCCCAGGGATCCACCGTTTCTGCCTCTCCAGTGCTGATGTCACAAGCGTGTGCCACCACACCCCACCATAAATGAGTCTTTGTTTTAAAAAATAATTTTTTTAGTTCAGTCTCCAGCCCAAAAAATGTACATGCATTCAAATAGCTGGGTCTCTGTAATATGTCCTTTACTCTGCTGGCCAAATAGTGTTTAATGCTCCTGGATTCATGAACGACCCCTGGGGACTCTGCAGGAGCCTGGGGTAAACTGGAGATGGGGGGAACCCCTGATCTGCCAGAATCCTACCAGCACTTGTGAAGATTCTGAACATATCTAGTGTTATTTCTATAATTATTTTATTGTTTGGAGACAAGGACTCACTGTGTAGCCCAGGCTAGCCTCTTGAGTACTACACCTGGGATACTTTATCATGGTCACATCCGAGGTCGAGGAGGGCCTCAAGCTGGACTGCTCCGGATGGCTGCAAAGGTGTGCACCGTTCCAGCGCCTATGGCCCGGGACATGCAGCCTTCATCCTGTCCTGCAATCTGTGGGCGTGACGAGAAGCTCCCACTCCCCAGGACACTCAGCCTTCGTCCTGTCCTGCACAATTTGGACATGGCAAGAAGCTCCGAGCTGATGGCTGTGAAGTGTCTTGAGATGGCTTCTCTTGTGACTGTGTTTATTTGCACAATTGTGAGGTGTGGGTGCAAAAGGCCCTGCATCCGGGTGCAGCCAGTCAGTGACTCAGATGGACAGTTTGTCACATGTCAGGTGACAGGGCCACTGACTCCCTGGGCCGCCAGCAGGAAGGTGTGGCCGTGAGCATTAAAGCCTGGATGACAGACGGAGTCTGGGAGTCTCGTCAGCTTGGAGACTATCGGTGGCCACATCAGGTTCTTGGCAAGCACTACAGGCTGGAGACAGCGTGAGGTGGGGAGGCCTGGACTCTCAGGCAGGGCGGCCTCACGCCCGAGGCATCCTTTCAGGAAGTCCAACTAAAACCATCCTTTTTTTTTTTTTTTTGCTTCAAAGTGTTTTTATTGGCACTTGGTGACCTCTTAATAGATTTATTTAGGCAGTATTCAGGGATGTGTCACTGATGTGCAAGAATGAAGTTTTGAAATGAGGGTCAGGAACCTTTTGTGCATAATTTATTTTTCTTTATTATTTTTATTATTAAGACAATCTCATACATAGTCCAGGCTGGCCTTGAACTTACGGCACTTCAGCTCTGCCTAATAATAGCTGGGATTACAGGTGTGCGCCATCACACCCAACTGTACACAGTTTCTTTTATCTATTTAAGGTTTGGCTTTTATTTTAAATTATGCATGTGTGGGTTTGTGCGCATGAGTGCAGCGCCTTCAGAGGCCAGAAGGGGGCACTGTGTCTCATGGTGCTGGGGTTGCTGGTGATTGCGAGCTGCCTGATGTGGCAGTTTCTCGTCCGCAGCAACAACCTTCCGGGTATGGAGGGTTTGGTATGAGTTTCCGATGCTGGCATCCAAGTCTCATTTTTGTACTGTGTTGTTTGAGCTAATAAAGATACTGACTTTCTCAGAGAGTGGGTTGGGTCTTTCTTGGGAACCTCTTTGCTCTATGCAAACAAAATGGCTGCTCCCCCCCCCCCCCCCGTACCATCCAGTAGATGCAAGATGGCCACCACCCTGCCCCATCCAGGACAATCAGAGGCCACTTGATAGGGGGGCCAAGCTCCCTGTGCTTGCCCTGGGTTCTCTCCGGATATTTCTCAGGTGATCTATCTATGGGGTGACACCGTGATGGCACAGTAACAAAGGGGTCATAGGTCGGGTGGTCAGGAGCCCCAAGCTTCCCATCTGCAAGGTCAGGAACAAGACACTGCCCTCCTGACTTGACTCGCTACAACCCTGTGAATGTCAGGGCGACTGAACTGAGGCATTAGACAGGGGAGGCGGGGAGAGGAGGTCAAGAAGGGGAGGGGGGGGAGAGGAGGTCAAGAAGGGGAGAGACGGGGGAGGGGGGGCAGCAGACCCAGAGAAGAGCCACGACTGAAAGGCCAACAAACACCTGGACCAAGAGGAGACAGAGCCAAAATGGCTGGCTTATTTAGGGATCAAAGAAGCTGGGGCCAGGAGAGTGATGCTCATGGACTGGAGAGGTTGGGATGGGGGATGTCAGCCAGGAAGACTCTGTGGCAGGTCCTTGTGAGTGGGAACCAAGGGAAAGACTGGGTCCACGCTGATGTTAGATAGGCATCTGAGCTATTTGTGCCAGTTGTCTTTGAGACCCAACAGTATCCGGTCTGAGTTCAGCTTGGGCTAAATTAGACCTGGTCTGCAAACAAAAATCAGTGTCTGAGAGTGCTGATAAAGGAAGGGCCAGCACACCTTTGATCCCAGCACTCACAAGGCAGAAGAGGGTGGATCTCTGTAAATTCAAGGCCAGCCTGGCCTACCTAGTAAGTTCCAGGCCAGCTAAGACTGCGTAATAAGACCCTGTGTTTAAAGGAAATAAACAAATGAGGGGAAGAAGGGATTAAAAGAGACTAAAGTTACCAGAGACGGCAAATGAAAACACGGGCCACCCACCAAATCTGAATTTCAGGTAAATGGTCGTAAGTCAGGCACACACTGCCGTGAAAACACCTGGTCAGTGTTTACCTGAGATTTTCAGTCACAAGGTGCCCTGTGTTTCACCCGCCAATCCTGGAACTAGTACAAAGGTCTCTCTTCATTAGTTCAAAACAGGAGACGTTAACCCAAGCCAAGAGAATCTATTATAAGGGGTTCAGGATCCTTGGGACAATGGTGACACTGGAAGGCTTGATATCCTCGCTCTGAGGGAAACAGTTGTTAATGGGGGTTGCGTGCCCTGGTGCCAGGGAACTGGCATTTCTGGGTTGAGATGGACGCTCCTGTAGATGAAGGTCCTCACACTTAAATGAAAGTTGTGTCTTGGGGGCTTGGGGCCGCACACCAACCTCCAGGTCCTGCCTCTCATGGCTTACACTACTGGATCAGCCAGAGTAGCCCTGGCGACATCAGGGATCTTCATTTTATGTTGGCAGTGGGTGGGTGGTAAGGAGGCTATCACATCTGAGACAGTCTTATGTAGCTCAGGCTAGTCCCTAACTCACTAGGATAGCCTTGAACTCCTGTCCCTTAGAGTTGAGCCACCACGTCCCTCTCTGGACCTTGATTCTTCGTTAGCCTTTCAGAAACCCATTTTCCCCCTGAGATGTCTGTTTAGGCTCCTCCAAGGGCTTCTTGTCTGCTGACCTTTGCCCCTGGGTCCTCAGTGGCCAAGCTGAGCTTGTAGCTGAGCATCAGCCTGGCTCTAGCTTTTGCATTGAGTATTTGTTAAGCAAATGCTGCTGGAGCCTGTGGGCAGCCTGGGCCTTCTTTTTGGGCCTGGCTGGGGTGGTTTCCTTTATAGGGGGCCATGGGGCACATCTTCTGCTAGAAAAGCTGGAAATGTTGAGGCTTATAGTGAGACCCGTCCTCGGATCCTAGCCAGAGTGTCTCCATCTTGTAGCAAGCCTTTGGCAAACCAAACCATCCTACCCACAGTCAGTGTTCTGCAGAGACCAAGAGGCTCAGAGAATACAGGCAAGCATGCAGCCCCAAAGTAGCCAGAGTCTGGTGACTCTGTGGTTCATGTCAGCCAGGCCAGGACCATCTGGACTGCGTCAGCTTGAGGTAGTGTTTCTTAGGTCTCAAATCAGGGTCAAAGGGCTGAGATGCCTATTGGCGTATCAAAGCAGCATTCCTCAGTCCCTACCTATTTCAGGGTCCTCCTGGCGGGCATACCCCGCCCCTGCCCTGAACACTCTGCCCTGGAGCTGGGCTACCCTTCCCCCGGTTGCTCTTCTCTATGTAGTCCAGTCATTTGGGCTACTTGGTCCTTTTACCCTTTTCCCTTATGGCCTCTTTGCCTCTGGGCCTCTAGGCTCCAGGATTTCCCCTCTCCCCTCCCTCATCTCCTCTGTCGGCTTGGAATAGGGTTGTGTTCGCTCTGGACTCTTCCAGATGCCTCTGGCTGTATTGTCCTGTGTATCTACTATAACCGTCTCGTCTGTCATATCTAGGAGCGGCCGTGTCCTCTTTTTTAATTTCTTTTTCTCATTCCACGCTCTCATGGGGTCTGCATCAATTCTGGTGGAGATTCAGAGTCGGAGAGCTATAGCTACGTTTAAGTTTAAATTACTGTGTTTAAAACAGAACAAGAATGCCTCTGACCTGCAAGTCCCACTTGCCCGAGGACAGATAACTTCCTGAAATGCTGGGCTGCTGTGCCTGTAAGATAACAAGCCACTGCCGGGCGGTGGTGGCGCACGCCTTTAATCCCAGCACTTCGGAGGCAGAGGTAGGCGGATCTCTGTGAGTTCGAGACCAGCCTGGTCTACAGAGCTAGTTCCAGGACAGGCTCCAAAGCCACAGAGAAACCCTGTCTCGAAAAACCAAAAAAAAAAAAAAAAAAAAAAGAAGATAACAAGCCACTGCTTTCCTTCTGCAAACGAGGTTGGTTGCCCCAACCACACAGGATGTGCTTGATCACACATAGGTGGGAGGTATGTAGGCAGGAAGTACGTCAGGGTGTATGCTTGCCTCTGATTGGACGAAGGCACGAAGTACATAGCCTTGTGGCTTTTGCCTTTATAGACATCGGACTAATAGTCATTCTCTGAAAATTCCGGGTATTGACCTGGCCGATATCCACCATCCTGGCCTGTTTTTAATAAAGCTTGCTTCCCAGCACTGGGGAGGCAGAGGCAGACAGATCTCTGAGTTCGAGGCCAGCCTGGTCTACAGAGCAAGTTCCAGGACAGGTTCCAAAGCTACAGAGAAACCCTGTCTCGAAAAACCAAAAACAAACAAACAAAATAATACTAAAATAAAGCTTGCTTCAATTTTAACTCAAAAATTGTGGTAGTGATCTTATTCTTGCCCAGCCGGATTAACAAGAGCCACCCCACAGGAGTCGAACACCTCAGGAATGCAGTTCTCCACAGTAACCCCTTTTCTCAACTCACTGTTACTCCTCAAGAACTTGAACAAAGCCGGGCGATGGTGGCGCACGCCTTTAATCCCAGCACTCGAGAGGCAGAGGCAGGCGGATCTCTGTGAGTTCGAAACCAGCCTGGTCTACAAGAGCTAGTTCCAGGACAGGCTCCAAAGCCACAGAGAAACCCTGTCTCGAAAAACCAAAAAAAAAAAAAAAACTTGCACAAGCCATTTTGGGGCTGCTGTACCACACCAGCTTGAGAGCAGATGTTTAATTTTACATGTCCCCAGAGCATCACCCACTGAGGCTGGAGATGTCTTCCGTGTGCCTCACTGTCATAGCGGTGAGAAGAACACTCCACCCTCACTGGTGTGGGGGATTGGACATTTTGTCCTTGACATCCTCCCCGTACTCCAAGACTGGGAAAGCACACAACTGCTGGTCTGCATGGCTGAGCCTTACAGTTCCAGGGGGATGGAAAATCTCTGGAGCCCAGAATGCTGCTCAGGTCCCTCCCTTGGGGGAGGCTTTGGTGGGCAGGAGACTCCTCAGGCAGGGAAACAGACATGGGGAGGGGGAGCAGACCTTCTGCACTGCTGAACCCTGGAAGGCTAGAGCAACCCCCTGGTCCCAACCGGCCCGTCTTGGGTGGGAAGCTGGACTTGGACTCCAGGACACTGGGGTCTCTCCTGCGTCAGCCAGCCTAGGCACTCTGTCCGCCCACTCCCTAGGAAAGGAGAAAGAATCATTTTGAGAGCGCATACCCAGGATATCCTGACCGAAGTTCCCCTCAGGCCTTCCTTCTGCTGAGCTTGCCAAAATCCAGAGATCTAGGATTGTTCCAAAAGCCAGTTAAGGGGTTCACTTTATTATCCCAGACCCCTTAGATATTCTGCAAAGGGGATCCCTCATGAGGAAGTGATTAAAAAGATGTTTGAAATATTATTCCGCTTATAAACGATTAATTGGTAGTTGTTTTCCAGAAGGTGGGGGTGGTCTCCAGACTGCTCAGTTCAGTGTGTGGTTAGCCTACTGCTCTGGGTACGGGTGCAGGAGGATCACAGACGCGCGGGTGGATCACAGACGCGCGGGTGGATCCCTTTGGAGGTCATCTGCGCACTTCTCTTCAGTGCTCTTCATTTTATTTTATTTTGAGAGAGAATTTTTTTGGTTTTGTTTTGTTTTTCAAGACAGGGTTTTCTCTGTATAGCCCTAGCTGTCCTGGAACTAACTCTTGTAGACCCAGCTGGTCTGGAACTCAAGTAGAGATCCACCTGCCTCTGACTCCCAAGTGCTGGGATTAAAGGCATGTGCCACCACCTCCACCACATCCCAACTTGCTCTCTCTCTCCTCTCCTCTCTCTCTCTCTCTCTCTCTCTCTCGCTCTCGCTCTCGCTCTGTGCGTGTGTCTTTCTCTTCCTTCTTTGGTTTTTGAGACAGGGTCTCACTACATAGTATTGAGTGACTTTGAATTCATTATGCAGACCAGGCTGGCCTTGAACTCACAGAGATCACACCCCCCCCCCACCACACACACACCTGCTTCCGCTTCCCAGGTGCTGGGGTTAAAGGCCTGCACCATGCCTGGCTCCCAGCTGTTCTCTAGAGCTGACTGTGGCTGTACCAGGAAGAAATGGGACTGGAGGACATTGCTCAGGTCGATACACAGCCGTCTGGAGAGGCAGGGACACCTGGGGACCCCCAGAGGGACTCCTTACCTCAGGGCAGCTGTATTCTTGGATCCGACTGGGATGAGGTTTGTAGGTGACCCAAACTGTCTTGGAAGTGGAGAGTACAGGAAAGTCCAGTGGACGAGGAGCAGACCTGGATTCCAGAAGCCAAGGACGCATGCGTGAGGGGGAAAAAGAAGAGCAATTAGAGTTCCAAACCCTACTCTCACCTGCGGTGTGGGCCAGGGTAGCCGCTTGCCCTCTCTGGCAATTACAAGATCCTGAAGAGCCCACCTCAGAGGTAAACTCAGTGTTTAGCCCTGAACCTTCACAAATAGTTTCGTTTGTTTGTTTTTTTGTTTTTCGTGACAGGGTTTCTCTGTGTTGCTTTGGAACCTGTCCTGGAACTCACTCTGTAGACTAGGCTGGCCTCGAACATACAGAGATCCACCTGCCTCTGCTTCTCAAGTGCTGGGATTAAAGGTGTGCACCACCACCACCCGGCCACAAATAGGTTTTTCATTTAAATGTTATATTTAGGCAAGTTCGAGGCCAGCCTGGTCTACAGAGTGAGTTCCAGGACAGGCTCCAAAGCTACAGAGAAACCCTGTCTCAAAAAACCAAACCAAGGGGCTGGAGAAATGGCTCAGCAGTTAAGAGCACTGACTGCTCTTCCAGAGGACCCGGGTTCAATACCCAGCACCCACATGGTAGCTCACAACTGTCTGAAAATCCAGTTCCAGGGGATCTGACACCTTCACACCAATGCACATAAAAAACAAAACAAAACAAAAAAGTTATATTTATTTCTTTACATGGTGACCACAGTTCCTTATTCAGGGGTCCCAACTGGACCCAAGGGGGTTTCCCCAGCTCCTGGCTAACATTGCTGTGGATGGAGCATCCACAGAAGGGACTCTGAACGTCGGCCCTCACCCATCCGGGACATGCCGCCCTCTCTGCAGTCAATCATGAGTAGATGTGAAAAGAGGAGCTACTTTTTATTTTATTTATTTATTTAATTTTTTGTTTTTTGAGACAGGGTTTCTCTGTGGTTTTGGAGCCTGTCCTGGAACTAGCTCTGTAGACCAGGCTGGTCTCGAACTCACAGAGATCTGCCTGCCTCTGCCTCCTGAGTGCTGGGATTAAAGGCGTGCGCCACCATCGCCCGGCTTAAAAGAGGATCTACTTGACGATTGAATAAAATACAAGTTCATGAACCCAAGAGGGACGTGAAAGAAAAGTCTAGGACCAGTAAGATGGCTCGGTGGGTAGAGGCGTGTACCCCCAAGTCTGGCAGCCTGCATTCAATTACAGGGACCCAAAGATAGAAGGTCAGAGCCAACGCCATAACGTTGTTCTTTGATCTCTGTGGCATATACTCATATATGTGCCCAAACAGAAATAGGAAGGAAATAAATGTCAAAACAAATATTTAATTTCTACTGAATGGACTAAAGGCCACAAGCAACGTCCTGTTGGTACAGGTAAGGTGTTTGCTGTCGGAAGAATGACGTGAGCCACGCATGTTGTCACGTGCTTATAATTCCAGGACTCGAGAGCTAGACGCAGGAGGGGGGGTCAAGAGTTCCAAGTCAGCTTTAGCTGCACACTGAGTCTGAGGCCAGCCTGGTCTACATGGTGAGTTCTAGGACAGTCAGGGCAACTCTGCTCAAAAAAAAAACAAAACAAAAACAACAAACAAAAAGGACCAACAGAAACCAGCAGCTGAGCAACAGCGCAAACCTCCAGGACCCCGCCCTGACACTTGCTGTTTTCTGGATGCTTTCCCGTTCACTGGGTGGCTTGCGTTGTACCCTCAGCGGCTTATGAGCCGGGTCACCCCTGTTGTTCAGGTCAGAAAATGGAGATCGGAGAGCCCCGATGTCCTAACTAAGCTCCGAGCCTGCCCAGCAGAGGAGAACTTTCTGTCCATTAACTGCATATCTCAGACACTTACTGCAGCTTGCTGGCTGGCTTCTTGGAGCGAGGGTTTCTCTGGAAGAACTCTCTGGTGGCATTTGTCTTCTGTTTCTTCTTGAACATCTTGTCTGTCCTGTTTGAATCCACAGCAAGACTGTCCCTAGGCAAAGAAGCAAGGAGGTGGTTTGTTATGGCCTGAACAGTGTCTGTCACCACAGAGCCTGGCCCCAGCTCAGGAGACCCCCAGCGGCATTGGCCGAGGTTGGTGTTCCCCAGCAAACATCCCTGATTATCGTTAACTATTTATCTGGACAATACCAGGCCAAGAGGGAAACAGAACCCACACTTATACCTACTAAATGTAGACACAAAGAGGTTAAAATCACACAAACGTAATATATACTTTATATATTTTAATTTACACAAACTGTGAAAAGTTTTTTTTAAGATTTTCTTTTTTATGTATGTGTATGTGTATCTACATGTAAGTATGCATACATGGAGATGAAAGGAGGGCTTCAGATCTCCTGGAGTTAGAGGGCTAGGCTGCTGTGAGCTGCCCAGTGCAGATGCCGGGACCGGAACTTAGGCCAGATCCTCTGCAAGAACGGTTTGGGTTCTCATCCACCATCTCTCCAGACACACACACACACAGTTGTAGAAATGAAATTATACATAATGGGGAAGCAGGTACATCTTAATAAACTTCAAAAGAGATTTGAGAGCTTATCACACCATCAGGTGTTGCGGGAGGTCCTCCCACTCCTCCAGCCTATAGCCGCTGAGATACCAGCCCATTGGGGCGTGGTCTCTCTCCCTTTAAAAAAGCGGCCACTTCCCTCTCCTCTCTCTCTTCACTTCCTGCTCCGCTGGCGACTAGACTCCCTTCCTGGTTGCGCAGAGGGCTGGCGGTGATCTGTAAGTTTTTTCCGCTTTAAATAAATACCACCCTATTAATCATAATTCCAAACTGGTGTGGCATTGTTTGTGACTTACGCCTTCAGTTGGCACCCAACGTTTGGTGTTAGGACCTCTCCTTCCCCAGCTCGGCTGCCGGCTGTGAGTTCGGCTTGGCGCGAGCTTCCCTTCCTTAGCTGCCGCGGCCGGCAAGTGGCCTTGTGGCCTGTGTCTTGTGCGTGGAGCCAGCAGCTTAATATAAATCATCATGCACTGGCTTTTATTGCTGCAGTTCTTTATATTTTCTCTTTAGACACCTCAGATTGACTTCCAGTCCCGACGCACCCTATCGTCTGCCTCCCCACATGGATTTAAACTCCACAGGCCTGCGTAGTCTCCGCCTGCTCTTTTCTGAGTCATTTTTAAATCTCCCTTGCAAGCACAGCTCTTAAGTGGCGCGAACCAGAGCACATGGTTGCTGAAAGCTGGAACAGCAAGGAAGAGCAAAAGGTGTCGAGGTTTCCCAAGATCAAATTCTTGGTGCAGGAGAATATGCTGATCCCCAGGTCCAAGCTCTTCCTTGCTGTTCCATATGTTTGGATTCTTCTCTGAAATAAATTCCAAACATCAAGGACGGTCCATTATCTAAAACTGCAGACACTAACTGATGGAAATCATGGGGGGTAGCTCTAGCATTAACCATCTGTACTGAGATCTGGTGTCCTGCTCTGGCGTGCGGGCAGACATTGAGGCAGAAAGTTGTATACATAATAAATAAATCTTTAAAAAAAATTGAACTCAGGACCTCTGGAAGAGCAGCCAGTGCTCTTAACCTCTGAGCCATCTCTCCAGCCCAGGTCCAAGCTCTTTATGACGATGAAGTACTGTGTCTATGTCACCAAGCAGCTTTAAATGCTTGGAATAGGATACAAGATCCAGCAAAAAGGGTTGAATCATATACCAGAATTAGGCAGGGACAGAGAGAACCCTTTATTGACTTTTTGCAAAGATTAATTAAGGCTCTGGACATAGGGGTAACAGACCCAGAAGCTAGACGAATACTTCTTGAATCTCTAGCTTTTGAGAATGCAAACATAGAATGCAAAAATATAATTGGGCCTTTAAAGTCTAGATCAGCACCTATGGATGAATGGATTCAGCATATGATGAATGTTGAGACGTTTAGCTATAACGATGAATCTTGGGTAGGAGAAGCGATTTCCACAGCAATGAGGAGACATCAAACTGCCAGGTGTTTTAATTGTGGTAAATTAGGACATCTGAAAAGGGATTGCAGGCACAGAATTTCTAGGAATAATATATCCTCTGGGAATGACAAAAATAGGAGACCTAGGCCTTCAGGTATATATAGGAGATGCGGTAAGGGCCAACATTGGTCCAACGAATGCAGGTCAACAACAGACAAACAAGGCAACCCGATACCGTCGGGAAACTCCTTGAGGGGCCTCTCGCAGGCCCCCAAGCCAACAGTGGCCCAGTCATTCCCAGTCACAGTGGAGAACGTGCCTCACCAAGAAAATTAAAAGTTCCATTTTCTGCTGTAAAAAGTAATACTGGTCTAAATGATGAAATACGTGTGGAGGATGAGTCAAAAAACCCAGTAGGACAGAGTAAACGTATATTTTGGCAGACTTCTATTAATGATCAAAGACCAAAGCTAAGAGTCTGTATAAATGGCACTTTTATTGAAGGCTTATTAAACACAGGTGCGGATGTAAGTATCATTACCCCAGAATCTTGGCATCCGAATTGGCCTCTTCAAGAGGTAGATGTTCAGTTCCTGGGAATTGGAACCCTATCTCGTGTAAAACAAAGCACAAGATGGGTTGAATGCATAGGGCCTGAAGGACAAATAGGAAGACTAAGGCCATATATAGCCAATATTGCCATAAATTTATGGGGCCATGACCTGCTACAGCAATGGAATACCCAGATTAACATTCCTGTAGTTCCAGGAACTCATAATTCTGGGAAGGATGTGATGAGGTATTATGGAAAAAGGTCACCAGCCATTCAGGCTGTACAAGAACATACAGCAAATACCAAACCTTTAGAGGTACCAACAGCCCTACCTTTAAAATGGCTAACTGAGAAGCCAATATGGATCAAACAGTGGCCTCTAGCTGAAGATAAACTACAGGCATTGGAACAGCTGGTGCAAGAGCAACTAGATGCTCACCATATTGAAGAATCAACCAGCCCTTGGAATTCTCCTGTGTTTGTTGTAAAAAAGAAATCTGGTAAATGGAGAATGGTGACAGATCTAAGAGCTGTCAACAAAGTAATTCAACCTATGGGCCCATTACAATCTGGAATTCCTTTGCCTTCTCTGTTACCAAAAGGATGGCCTCTTATAGTTATTGATTTGAAAGATTGTTTTTTCACTATACCGTTACAAGAAAAGGATAGAGAAAAATTTGCCTTCACAGTGCCTACTTATAATAATTCTCAGCCTAATAGGAGATATCAATGGACTGTCCTCCCACAGGGTATGCTCAATAGTCCTACATTGTGCCAATATTTTGTAAGTAAGCCATTGGAAATAATTCGTAAACAATTCCCCAAGTCCATAATTTATCATTACATGGATGACATCTTGTTAAAGGATGTTTGAAGAAGTAAAGAAAGTCTTGCCTATGTGGGGATTACAAATTGCCCCTGAAAAGATTCAAAGAGGAAATTCTATTAATTACCTAGGTTACAGAATAGGGTTAGAGAAAATTAAAACGCAAAAGGCACAAATTAGGAGAGACCGGTTAAAGACTCTTAATGACTTCCAAAGATTGTTAGGAGACATTTCCAGTCTACGACCAGCTGTTGGGATAACACCTGATCTAATAGTTCATTTAAACAAAACCTTAGATGGTGATAAAGATTTGAATAGTCCAAGAAAACTGACAGCTGAAGCAGAAAAGGAACTGACAATGATTGAGGAAAAATTACAGGAGGCACATGTGGATAGGGTGAACCCAAATCTTAGCTGCATCCTAGTCATATTGCCTTCCAGAATTTCTCCTACAGGGATTCTAATGCAGAGGGAAGATATTATTTTAGAGTGGATATTTATACCTAATAAACCAAGTAAAAAAATAAAAACTTATGTGGAAAAAGTCTCTGAATTAATTATAAAAGGTAAGCTGAGACTTCGTCAACTAGCAGGTATAGACCCAGCAGAAATTATAGTGCCTTTTACTACTGAAGAAATAAAAAAGTTATGGGAAGACAATGAACCGTGGCAAAGAGCTTGTCCTAATTTTTGGGGAGAAATTAATAGCAACTATCCCAAAAGTGGTAGACTTAACCTTATAAAAAGAACTTCTTGGATTCTTCCTAGAATTGTACGTGATGCCCCAATAACTGGAGGCCGTAAGTTCTATACTGATGCAAATAAATCAGGGAAAGCAGGTTACAAGTCAGATGAATTGAGTAAGGTGGAACAAAGCCCTTATAATTCTGTCCAGAAGGCAGAATTATATGCCATTCTTATGGTGCTAAGGGATTTTAAAGAACCTCTTAATATAGTTACAGATTCACAATATGCAGAAAGAGTTATCTTGCATATTGAAACCGCTGAATTTATACCAGATGACACAGAGTTGACTTCATTGTTTATCCAGGTACAAGACATAATCAGGACTAGGCTTTGTCCAATGTACATAACACACATCCGGTCCCATACAGGTCTGCCTGGTCCTCTAGCCCAAGGCTGTTGAAATAGGGAGCGGCGGGGCTGCTTCCCGCCACCTGGCTAGCTTTATACCCGAAATAATTACACGGAAACTGTATTCTTTTTTTTTTTTTTTTGGTTTTTCGAGACAGGGTTTCTCTGTGGCTTTGGAGCCTGTCCTGGAACTTGCTCTGTAGACCAGGCTGGTCTCGAACTCACAAAGATCCGCCTGCCTCTGCCTCCCGAGTGCTGGGATTAAAGGCGTGCGCCACCATCGCCCGGCCTGTATTCTTTTAAATACCACTTGGCCCATTATATCTAGCCTTTTCTCGGCTAACTCTCGCACCTGGACTAGCCCATTTCTTATAATCTATGTAGCCCACGAGCTGGCTTACCAGGAATGATCTTAACCTGCATCTGCCTGGAGTGGGAGAATCATGGCGACTCCTGACTCAGCTTCTTTCTCCCAACATTCTGTTCTGTTTACTCCACCCACCTAAAGGTGGTGGGCCTATCAAATGGGCCTAGCAGTTTCTTTATTGCTTAACCAATGAAATCAACAGATTGATATATGACACTCCCACATCACAAGGCAACGCTAAGATTGATCAATTATTGATTGGAAGTGTGTTGCAGGCCTCAGAATTTCATAAGACGCATCATGTCAATAGTAAAAGCCTAAAGAAAGAATATTCCATTACTTGGCAACAAGCTAAGGACATTATAAAGAGATGTCCTACTTGTTCTTTCTATAATCAAACACCGTTGCCTGCAGGGAGTAACCCAAAGGGCACTAAGAGAAATGAAATCTGGCAGATGGATGTGTTCCACTTTATGGAATTTGGTAAATTAAAATATGTACACCACACCATAGACACGTATTCAGGTTTTCAACTGCCCTGAGCTCCGAAAAGGCTGATTCAGTAATCACACATTTATTGGAAGTTATGGCCATCATGGGTATACCTGCACAAATAAAGACAGATAATGGTCCAGCATATGTATCTAAGAAAATGAAACACTTTTTTGATTATTATAATATAAAACACATTACAGGTATACAAAATAATCCTACAGGTCAGGCAGTTATAGAAAGATCAAATCGTACTATAAAGGATATGCTGAACAAACAGAAAGGGACCGAAAATACCCCCAGAAATAGATTACATAATGCTTTATTAACCTTGAATTTTCTTAACGCTAATGACAAAGGAACGACAGCAGCAGAAAGACATTGGATAATGGAAAAGTATGCTGAACTAAATCAACCGATTTATTTCAAAGATGTGCTGACCTCTCAGTGGAAGCCAGGAGATGTGCTATGTTGGGGAAGGGATTTTGCTCTTGTTTCCACAGGAGAAGAAAAATTGTGGATACCATCAAAATTAATAAAGTTTCGATTTGAAGAGGAGAAACCTCTTGGAAAGGAGAAATGACAACTCATCCACAATGATGATATTCATACAGGTGGTAAGAAAAACATATAAAATGGGGGCAGGGTTCTGTTCTTATATCCACAGGAAAACACTCATCTTTGAAAAATTCAAGGGATCCTGGATGTTTGGATACTGACAGATGGAAAAATACCTGCCCAATAGGAAATATCAAGAAAACTGAATGGGTTGTGTAAGTAATATTAAACCATATTTCTAAATTTATAAAGCTGGTTTTGAAGTTGGACTCTGGCTCAGTCCCTCTCCAATTCCAAGTCTGTTAGTAAGAGAAAAAACCAGAGTTTCTGGAGTTTCTGTCTCATGTCAAGAGCCATGATATGGGACAGAAAGAAATATGAGTTTAGAAAACATCTTTGCTTTTCTTCATATCTATCATACTTTTCATTGAATATATCTATCATGCCTTTCAGTGAATATATATATATATATGTCTATATGATTAATGTTTAAGTTTTTCGCAATGAACAATGAGTTTTTCCTGAAGTGACATTTGAAGTTTCCAGGAAGAAGATGGGGCCCCATAACAACAGCTGCACCTGGTTGATATGATGTCATGATACTGATAGCGCTACTACAAGACCTGCTTTCGGTACCAGCTGCACAAGACAGTTCCAACTTGGTTAGCTGAAATGGTGCACATCTTATACAACATTTTGGCCAGACCTGCACAAAATACTCAGAGACTATTGGCAATTTTAAAAGACATTGATCTTGAAATTTAACCATCATTTTACTTTCACAGGATCCCCCAGAAAGAATGTTGCCCCCATGACAGCTGGAAGTAATTCTAGAGGACGACATCCCCTCTCCCAGTAAAGTTTGCCCTTGGGTTTAGGAACATCATTTAGGGGTTGATTATAATTAGTATACGATTGAGGGTTGGGGGAGGAATTTTATAAGCTCAGGGATCATTTTGAAAAAAAAAAAGAGGGATGATGGGATAATAGATTTGTAATTGTGAGTTACTGTTTTTAGACAAATATATTGGTATAGATTCTTGTATATTGATACAAAGTTAAATTATATTGACTATTGTATGCATGCATGTTTCTACCTCTGTTTAAAACATTTTTTTATGTATTGACATATATTGTATTTATATATATATTGTATATATTTACCATATTGCAGTGTACATTTCTACCTCTGATTAAGATACTTATATAATGTTTGTGTATTGATATATATTTACCTACTGCAATGTATATTTGTACATTGTTTATATTTGGAGGTCATTGTCCTCATTTGTTTCACAGTCGTTTATTGTCTTAGTCTTTAAGTTAGATAGGCATTGAGAATTATATAGATTAATAGTCATCTAAGTTTGTCATTTATAATTTTAGACTAATCAGGTTCTTTAGATATATAGAGATTATACTCAGTATAGATAGAAAATCTTCAATTTCTTCAAAGAGCTGTAGAAAATGGCCTTTAATCTAACTCAGAGTTTTGTGGTAGTGAGACACAATTGCTCCTGGCAACACTGCTCTATTCCCGAGAGAATGTTGAGCACCAAAGACACTCCACCTGGAACCTTTCTTTTTGGCAGAACTGGCCTTTGGGCAAAGAAATGCCCATACCTCAACCACTGACAGAGATACAGAGCATGCATCAATGGATAAAACAGGACTGTCATATCCTGCCAAGACAGGGTAAGATAGTTTTGAAAAGTTGCTTGCCTTTGAAAATGGTATGTCAGTTATGTTAGGCCTTAGCCAAAGTTGGTTGCTTCAATTTTGGGTGATTGCCCAGGTAGCTAGTTGTCTCTGTGATTTGTTGCATGTTTTGGAAGTTGTTTTACTGAACTTCCTAATTACCCAGGTAACATTATTTCCCTTCTCAGATCTTCGATGGGGTTGAAGACTATATAAATGTAGTTACTTTCTCTCATGACTTGGCCAAGTTATTTATTATACAAGACCTAAGCTAGTTAGAATAGGATATTTGTACTTATTGTATATAATTTCATAGTAGGTTTAGAACTCTCTTATTTAAACAAAAGGGCGAGGTGTTGTGGGAGGTCCTCCCACTCCTCCAGCCTATAGCCGCTGAGATACCAGCCCATTGGGGCGTGGTCTCTCTCCCTTTAAAAAAGCGGCCACTTCCCTCTCCTCTCTCTCTTCACTTCCTGCTCCGCTGGCGACTAGACTCCCTTCCTGGTTGCGCAGAGGGCTGACGGTGACCTGTAAGTTTTTTCCCCTTTAAATAAATACCACCCTATTAATCATAATTCCAAACTGGTGTGGCATTGTTTGTGACTTATGCCTTCAATCAGGGGTTACCTAAGGTGCTGTTAGACTTTTCCAACCCTGGCTTTACCCAAAACGAGACCCCGGGCCAGGAGTGCACACACTCCCAATGCCCTAGAACAGAGTGCACCCAGTGTGCGCAGGAGGGAGGCAGAGGGATGGCATCACCCCCATCAACAGGCGCGTTCCACAAAGCCCCTCACTGGGGAGAGAAGAGGGCACAAAGGGTAAATTATTGTCCCACAGACAAGAAGAGCCGGTGGGGCCCAGGCAATCATAAGGGTGGAAACCTCATTTAGCTGGCCCTCTCCCCTGAGCAAAGGTGAGAACATATCCTGGGGAACTTACCCCAGAGGCTTGTGGAGGGCTTGCTTCCTGGTGCCCGGTGCTGCCAAGCTTGTCAGCTGTGGAGAGGCAGGAGGCCCTGCAGACAGAGTGTACACACAAGGAGGAGTGAGGTGACAGGAGGGGGTAGTGGGTCACTTTAAACACAGAGATGCCAGACTTTGTGACACAGCACACTTTTAATCCTGGCACTCGGGAATCAGAGGCAGGTGGATCTCTGAATTTGAGGCCAGTCTGGTCTACAGAGCGAGTTCCAGGATAGCCAGAGACAAAATAGTGAGATGCCATTGTTAAGAAAACCAATTTTTAGAGGTATTATTTTGTTTTCTGGTTTTTCACAAACGGTTTCTCTGCGTAACAGTCCTGGCTATCTAGGAATTCACTTTGTAGAACAGGCTGGCCTTGAACTCACAGAGATCCTCTTGCTTCTGCCTCCTGAGTGCTGGGATTAAAGGTGTGCACCACCACACTTAGCAAACATAATTTTCTTAACTTTTTAAAAAATTTTATGTGTATGTGTGTTTTGCCTACATGTATGACTGTTATGAATATTTAAGTATGTGAAGGCATGTTGCATTTGTTTATGCTGCATTTGTTTATCAATGTAAGGATGTGTGTTTAGTTATGGAAAGCTGTGTTATTTTGCCTGCCCAAGGCACCTGATTGGTCTGATAAAAAGTTTAACGGCCAATAGTGAGGCAGGAAAGGGATAGGCGGGACTTCCAGGTAGAGAGAATAAATAGGATAGAAAAAAAAAAGGAGAGAAGGAAGGCAAAGAGAGGGAGCCGCCAGACAGAAGCAGTGAAAGTAGACGTATAGAAGAAAAGTAAAGGGCTGGAAAGATGGCTCAGTGGTTAAGAGCACTGACCTCTGGAAGAAGATCCAGAGATCCTGAGTTCAATTCCAGCAACCACATGGTGGCTCACAATCATCTGTAATGAGATCTGGTGCCCTCTTCAGGGGTGCAGGTGCACATGCAGTCAGAGTATTGTATTCATAATAAATAAATAAATCTTTAAAAAAAAAAGTAAAAAGCCCCAAGGCAGAAGGTAGATAAAGAGAAACAGACTAATTTAAGTTAAAAGAACTAAGCTAGGCTGAGCATGCATAACTCAGAAGTCCATATGATTTGGGAGCTGGTTGGTGGCCTGAAAAGGCCTGGTATATATGTCTGTGTGCAGTGACCCAGAGGCCAGACACTGTGTGGGTGCTCGAAGAGGAGCCAGTGCTCCTAAGAGCTGAGCCATTTCTCCAGTTTCTGGAAAGGTTTTTAAATCTTAAAAACAACAGCAAAAGAGATTGTTGGGACCATTTAGAGTCCCTGCTCTTCCCTGCTAGAGATCTTTACTTTCCTTCTGATTTTCTGAGTTTCTGAAAGCTGTGTCAAAGTTGTTTACCAGCTCTGCTTCACGAGCACGTGTTGCCTTGCCTTGGGGATCAGAGGATAAGGTTTTCACCTGTTGGCCCACCTGACTGTTGGGTATATAAGCCTCCGTGGTGCTATTGAAAAAAGGGCTTCTTACCAGTGACTAGAGGTCCGTGTCTCTGTGTGTGTGTTTGTGTGGGAGCTATATGGTAGTGCATAGAGTGCAGACAGGCGCTGTGCGCTGCAGAGACTCATCAAGATGGTTCAAGACATAAAAGCACCAAGCCTGACAAAGGCAGGTGAATCTCTGTGAGTTCGAGACCAGCCTGGTCTACAAGAGCTAGTTCCAGGACAGGCTCCAAAGCCATAGAGAAACCCTGTCTCAAAAAACCAAAATAATAATAATAATAATAATAATAATGATGATGATGATGATGATGAAACAAGTGAACAGTAGTAGAATCAGCAAAGAGTGCTCTCCTCAAGGGTAAGATCCAAGCTGTACACCAGGGGATCTGGTGGAGACCCAGGGCAGCAGCTGTGGAGGGCAGACGTTGCTGGCTCCTGCGGTGACATCAGAGGCTTTCCTGAAAGTGCTATGCTAGAATTTCATAATGAATTCCCAGGGCTGAGGTCTGAACATCTACCAGTGAGAGTAAGCAGGCCTTCGTCTTGAAATGGAGAATATTATTAGAACCACTGGTGTATGTGTGTGCGCGCGCACGTGTGCACTGATTTGGAGGTGGACGCTGGGTGTCGTCCTCGATATATATATATATATATATATATATATATATATATATATATATGTTGGATTTTTCGAGACTGGGCTTCTCCGTAGCTTTTGGTTCCTTTCCTGAAACTCACTCTGTAGACCAGGCTGGCCTTGAACTCACAGAGATCCGCCTGCCTCTGCCTCCCGAGTGCTGGGATTAAAGGCATGCGCCACCACTGCCCGGCTACTATAATTTTATGTGCATTGGTGTTTTGCCTGTATGTTTGTCTGTGTGAGAGCGTCAGGTCCCCTGCAACTAGAGTTACAGATGGCCATGAGCTGACATGTGGGTGCTGGGAACCGAAACCAGGTCCCTTAGAAGAACAGTGTTCTTAAGCACGAGCCATCTCTCCAGCCTCTCAATTAGATTTTTTAGAGAGACTCACAGATCTGCCTAGGCTCACCAGCCAGGGTCTCCTTGGATCTGCCTACCTTCATGGCCCCAGTGCTAGCTACAGGAGTCTGCTGCTGTACCCAGACTTTATGTGGGTTCTGGGGATCAAACTTGGATCCTCATGAGTTTATGTTTGTTGGTTAAACATTGTATAAATTGTGTGAGTTCTAAATATAGATGGCTTATTATTGTGAGGTCTTTAATATCGTTATTAACCTTATTAATATTTATCTTTTTAATAATTAATCAAAATTAATTAATTTGGTTTTTGAGAAAGGGTTTCTCTGTATAGTCTTGGCTGTCCTGGAACTTGATCTGTAACCCAGGCTGACCTCGAACTCAGATATTTGCCTGCTTCTACCTCTTGAGTGCTGGGATTAAAGGCGTGCACCACCATTGCCTGGTTTATTTTATTTCTTTAAGATTTATTTTATTTTAGCCAGTCAATGGTGGTGTATGCCTTTAATTAACCAACTGTTAATCTCAGGTCCACACTGTTAAGTGCTAGTCTCGAGGGACGGAGCAGGGAGACTCATACCTGTGGGTCGGGCCCATAGCTCTGGGCCGGGCTCCTCCACGGGTGTCAGGGCAGGTGGTGTTGAAGGACCCGAGGGCGGAAGTCTGGAGGCTGCCCAGGCTGCTGTGGCTGCCTGGGGATGTCTGAGCAGCAGTCCAGAACAATGAGGGGATTCAGGTGATGATTCAGGCACTGAGGATCCAGCCTCTGAGCTGTGCGCGGCTGCCGCTGAGTCTGAGGTGTGCGACACCGGTGGCAGGCTTTTTGTGCCTCGGTTGTCGTCAGCGGCCGAGTCCGGTTGACAGCCATCCTTCACTCCTTCCTTCAGGCTTGGAGTTTGAAGATTCACTGGGTCAGTGTCCCTGGGGTCAGTGGGCAGCCCAGGACTCATTTCCGGGCATGGCTGGGGTGGGGTCGACGGCGATGCTGGTGACTGCTTAGATGAGGAGCCCCCTGGTGACTCCACAACCCCGCTGGTCCTGGATTCGGGTGTCTGCACTGATGGGGAAGCTAGAGAATGGCCATCCTTCCTGTCCTCTTGGGGAGCCCCCTGAGCATGGGGTAGTGAGGAGTCTTCAAGCTTGTCCCGCTGAGCTGAGGGCTCGTGGCCAAGGGCAACTTCTATCTGGCAGTACACTTCCACCCTGGGGAAAATCACTCTCTTGCTGGGGGAGTCGAGGTAGGCAGCATCTAGGAGAAACAGCACAGCAGATTTGATATGCTCATAGTCTATTACGGGGGTGTGAGCGAAATATGATACATGGTCAGCCACGGTGGTAAACGGTTAGTCCCAGCACTCAGGAGCTGAGCCGAGAAGACCTGAGAACAGAGAACAAATGAAGGAGGATTTGGACATAAGGAGGTGGGGGAAGGTGGGGTTCATAGAAGGGCTCCAGGAAACTTCTGGGTTTTTTTTCTTTTTTGAAATAAGGTTTCATGTTATTCAGGTTGGTCTGGCCTCAAACTTACTATATAGCCAAGGATGACCCTGAACTTCTGATTCCGCCCCCCCCCCCATCGCTCCCATCTCCCCAGCTCTGGGATTACCTCAGGTGCCACACTGGAATATGAATACTGGACAGGTATTAAATATGAATATGAACAGGTTTATGAATACTGGAAATTAAATTTAGGTGTTTATGTATGCTAGGCCAGCACTCAGCCCCAGCCTCTCCAGAAAACCTTGGGGATGAGGGATGGCGCATGTGTAGGAGGGAGTGGGGGGGCGGGTTGGAGGGCTGCTGGTCACAGCTGGGTGCAGACTGGCCTCCTCCAGCCCCTGCGTCTTGTTTTCCACACCACGCGGGCAGCCAGCCGGGCCAGCAGCTTTCCAGCTGCGGGAGTAACTGTGTGGATGAGAGCTTTTGCAGGGGAGGGAGGAGAGAAAGGGGGCGGGGTCCAGGGTGGCACTATTCTGTGGGCGATGACTGGCTCCCCCGCAACAAGCAGGGAGTAATCTGAGTGCTTCCAAGTGGCGGGTGGGGACTCATAGTGTGGCTCTGGGTACCAGAAGGAATTTCCCAGTAGCTCCTGATCACATCCGGTGCTAGAAGAAAAATCCAAGAGGCCTTGCGTGAGGAATTGGAAGGGATTCACGCTTGGGCGCTGGCACCACCTGGTGGGTGATACGCGCATCACAGGGCGCCTGGGAAGAACCCCGGCAGGGCACAGGTAGGTGAACGAGGTGTACCCTGAGCTAGGGAAATGGAGTTGCCTTCAAATAAGTGTCAAATGATAGGATCTTCCTGACCTCAAGTCCATGACAAACGCCATCACCCAGGAGAGAGTGAAGGGTTCCCCAGATTCTGGCCAAGAGATCCTGGCCAGCCCCTCATCCTCCAGGCTCTAGGAGACACGATGTGACTCAGATGTAAACCACCATGGATGTACCTTTCACTCTCACAGTAAACCTCTAGGGTGGTCCCTGCCATTGCCCCCCCCATACAGATGGGGAAACTGAGGCCCCAGGAGACTCACTACTGCTCCATAGCACGAAGGTGTCAAGAGCTGGGGTACAAGCCCTTCTTTACAAAACTGGCAACAAGACTCAGAGAGCTGAAGTGATTTTTCCTAGGACTCACAGCTCCGGGGTGGGGCTGGGAACTCCTTGCCTCCAAAACCCAGGATGCTCTCTCTCTCTCCCTCTCCCTTCTTCCCTCCTTCCCTCCCTCTCTCCCTCCCTCCCTCCCTCCCTCTCCCTGCTATCAGTTGTTTTCTCATGTTCCTGGATGCTTGGATGCGAGTAAGGATGCAGGAGAACATAAGGAAAGAAGATAAGGGAACTGGAGAAGGCAGGGAACAATTTGAAGAAAGAATGTGTTTTTAGCCGGGTGGTGGTGGCGCACGCCTTTAATCCCAGCACTCGGGAGGCAGAGGCAGGTGGATCTCTGTGAGTTCGAGGCCAGCCTGGTCTACAGAGCGAGTTCCAGGACAGGCTCCAAAGCCACAGAGAAACCCTGTCTCGAAAAACCAAAAAAAAAAAAAAAAAAAAAAGAATGTTTTTAGTATACATTCTAGTATATATATATTATAGAAAATATCATTCAACCCTTAGTTTCACCCCAAAATATTTCTTTTCCCAAAGCATTTTTTTTAAGTCACAGAGATGTATAGCCTTGTCAGAATAAGGCATGCTGGGATCTCAGAGCCAAGTGAGACTGGGATAGAAAATTATACAACGTCCCCGAAGATCACAGGGAGGAAGGCTGGGCCAGCAGTAGGTGAGCACCCTTTGCCCTGGACTTCCTTTATCTGAATCCACATTCTAAGGAGTTAGTCTGAGTACGGACAGGCCTTTCTCCTCTCTCTCCCCAAAGACGCTTGCCACACCTTCGTGGAGTTTGAGCATTTTGTCTCCGTTCACCTGATAAAGGGGTTGGGTCCAGACCCACTAAGGTTAATGGTTCTTCCCTTTGATCAACTGTGACTGGTCACACCTACTTGAGACAGAGTCCTGAGCAGCCCAGGCTGGCCTGGGCGGAGCTGTGTGGTCAAGGATGACCTTGAACTTCTGACCCTCCAGCCTTCTCCATCACTCCTGTTTTACGCAGTGCTGGGGATTGAACCGGGGCTTTGAGCATGCCAGGCAAGCACTCTATGAACTGAGCTGCATCCCCAACCCTCACCTTGTTTTTAATCTCATAAACGTTTTAGAAACACTCTGAACACCGTCCCACATGTCACCCCACAGCCACCGTGGGCTGTCTAGGGCAGGGTAGGCTGCTGGGTCTCCTCGTGCCCAGCTTTCTCTGCGATGGCTACCCAGAATTCCATTCCCACCCCTGCCACCCTCCTTGCCCTCCCTTCCTCAGGCTCCAGCTACTCACTCAGCCTCCGCAGGTATGAAACGGCGTCATCATAGCCCCGATAGTAGTAATCCTGCAGGATCTAGGTGGTGACACAGGAGAATGAATGAGGGTCACTGTCCCCACCCACAGCCATGTTCTACATGCTGACACCAACCCCCTCCTACCCGAGACATGTCATCAAGCCCTGGTCTGCACGACCCCCCTGTCTACTCAGGAGAGCTGGGAAGCGATGGCTGCCATGGTGGGGGTGTCAACACGCCAGTCACCTGTTCCCAGGGCACCACCCGCCTCCCCTGTAGGAGAGGGTAGAGAGGGTAGGGTATTTCTGGGGAACCAGAGACCACACATCTCTGGGTCATAGGAAGGCTAGAGCTTTGGGTCTGGGTTCAAGTCCCAGCGCTGCCCTTCACTGGCTATGTAGTGACCACTCAGTCTCTCTGTCTCCACCTGTCAGATGGGGACAGTGACAATATCTTTGCAGAGGGTGTTGGGAGGGGTGTGTGAGAGGTTCTCTCCACAATGCTGTCTCTGAGGAGGGCTGAATTGCAAACATTTTGGTCGTTGCTGACCACAGATTCTGCCCCAGAATTTTGTTTATTTGTTTTGAGACAGGATGGCAAGTAGCTCAGGTTAACCCCAAACTCCATATGTAGCTAAGGATGACCTTTTTTTTTTTTTTTTTGGTTTTTTTGAGACAGGGTTTCTCTGCAGCTTTGGAGCCTGTCCTGGAACTCCCTTTGTAGACCAGGCTGGCCTCGAACTCACAGAGATCTGCCTGCCTCTATCTCCCAAGTGCTGGGATTACAGGAGTGTGCGACCACCGCCCGCCCGGCCTAAGAATGACTTTAAATTCCTGAATTCCTGACCCACCTGCCTCTACCTCCCCAGGACTGGGATTACAGACGTGGATCACTGTGCTCAGTTTCTGCAGCACTGGGGATCAAACCCAGGGCTTCAAGCATGCTAGGCGAGTCCTCTACCAACTGAGCCACGCCTTCAGCCCTGCTTGTCTTTTAGCAATCCTTTAATCACGGCAAAGGTCCAGGGGAACCCTTTGAGAGGGTCTCCTCTGATCTGGACCCCACGCGGACCCTCCTGTCTCTCACCACCAGGTCTGGCGGGAAAAGCGCATGTGTCATGCGGGTGATATTCTCCAGGGAGAACTGGAAGGAGAAGTTGAACATTCGGAAGTCATGGAAGATGGCCGGGCAGTCTCTCGGACAGATGTCCTGCTGGCTGCTGAAGGTGGAGATGGTAATGGAGTCTGTCCAGAAGGCGCAGGGCTGCATGCTCGTGAAGCCACCATCGATGTACCGCTGCAGGGACAAACAGACGCTCGATCAGAGAGGACATGGAGGCTGAGGTCCCCAAGAGAAATAGTGGGTGGTGTGGAACAAGGTCCCTTGCTGTGTTCACGGAGGCCTCAGGACTCCTAATTTAATATTCTGACCCTGGACTTTCTCTCTCTGCCATCTTGGTGATACTGGCCTCTGGGTGGTGTGTCCATCTTCCTGATGACTCAGGAGCAAGCCCGTCCCACAGCCTCACGGCGCACCCACTTCTAGCTCCATGGATGGGGTGGGGTCCTGCCGGTTTCCTTACCTAGGAACTGAACGGGAGATGACAGTACAGAGGCTCTGTACCCCGTGGGAGTCAGAAGAAAGCTTGCTGACAGAACATAATGTCTGGACCAGGGCTTCCATCCCCGCTCAGACTGTAGCAGGAGACTGGTCGCTGGTCACCCTGAGGCCAGCCAGAGGTGCAGAATCTTGGCCTGCCCAGGTCTACTGAAGCACAGTCCTGTTATCCTAGGACTCCTCTGATTTAATCACGGGCACAGGGAAGCCTGCGACCACACGCCTGCGACCACTGGCCCAGATGGCCCTGAAGGCTTCCTCACTCAGGGTCTCGGGTCCATGTGTTCTAGTGCCTGTTTCGTCACCCTGTCTTCTAGGAGAACACGGAAAGTCTTGCAACCCCGACTTGCTGGGTCCTCTACAGGGTGGGTGGTCTAGAGAGGGCTCCCCTTAAGAACCCAGGCGTCCATCTACTCCGAGTAGAAAATCTTCCTCCCCTTAGACGCTGTAGGACTCGGCTCACGCTCACTCACCTCACCCCGGTATGTCGGAGGAATGAACCCACAGTACACAGGAACGAAGCAGCTGCAGTACAGGGCCTGGGGAGAGACAGGGCTGAGACGCCGCAGGCCCTGGAGTGGGTGGCACTGACCCCAACCCCTGGCCACTCCGCAATTCCTTAAAGTAAGGGTGCTGGCCTGGGAAAGTTTCCGCTCAATCCCCGTGCTGTCCTGAGTGGGGTCCTTGGTAGGGTTAGCTGGACCGGATATCCTAAGAGGGGTGGCTTTGACATACAGGGGCTCTGCTGGCCATCAGCCTTCCACGAACCAGCGGCTGCCCTGGACCAGACCCTGTCCTCAAAGGACACTGAGAAGCCATCCTTGCGAGTGTCACATAGCAGAGGGGTGAAGGAGGTAAGCATGGCAGCTGTGGCCCCAGATAAGGGGACCAGGCGGGGTGGGATGAAGGGACAGGAGTAAGGTGAAGCAGGGGATGCCAGGCCAGAACTGAGACGGAACAGCTCTCGGCAGACATGGCCTGATTTGGGTGTGGTGAGCTGTGTTGTCACGGTAGGAGTGGGAGTTGGGAGAGGCCGGGAGGGAGACCGCAGCCATGAGCGTGAGGGGGTGCACTAGTCACTCCAGGAGAACTAGTCACGCCAGGGGCCTGCTGCTTGTTCACCCCAATCCCAGAGCTGGAGGCTGGGAGCTGGGCACAGGCTTGGGGAGTGGAAGAGAGTGGAGATAGCAGATGAAAGTCTCATGAAAGAAAGCTGAGCCAGGTCAGGGTCTGTTCAGCGGTCACAACTGGTCACTAAAATCTGCACCCAGGAGCTCAGCACAGCCCTTTCAGGATGGATGGGAACTTCTCTAAGTGGGAACTGGAGGGGAACACTCAGCCATTTGTTTACTTATTTTTGTTTGTTTGTTGAGACAGGATTTCTCTATGTAGCCCAGGCTGTCCTGAAACTCACTCTGTAGACCAGGCTGGCCTCTAATGAGTTTTGCCTGCCTTTGCCTTCCAAGTGCCGGAATTAAAAGGAGTGAGCCACCATGGCCTAACTTTATTTTTAAAGATTTATTTTATATGTATGAATGTTTCATCACCATTTATATCCGGGCGCAACTTACATGGCTGGTGCCCATGGAGATCAGAAGAGGGTGTCACCCTGGAAATGTAATTACAGGTGGTTATGATCCACCACGTGGGTGCTGGGAACTGAACCCAGGTCCTCTGGAAGAGCAGCCAGTGCTCTTAAACTCTGAACCATCTCTCCAGACCCATTAATCCTTTTAAAAAATATTTATGTCAGCCGGGCGGTGGTGGCGCACGCCTTTAATCCCAGCACTCGGGAGGCAGAGTTAGGTGAATCTCTGTGAGTTCGAGGCCAGCCTGGTCTACAGAGCTAGTTCCAGGACAACCTCTAAAGCTACAGAGAAACCCTGTCTCGAAAAACCAAAAAAAAAAAAACAAAAATTTATGTCATGTGGTGGTGGCACATGCCTTTCATCTCAGCACTTGGGAGGCAGAGGCAGGAAGATCTTTGAGTTCCAGGCCAGCCTGGTCTGCAGAATGAATTCCAGGACTAGCCAAGGCTAAACAGAGAAACCCTGTCTTGAAAAAACCAAAATAAAATAAAATATTTATTTATTTATTTATTTATTTATTTATTTTCGAGACAGGGTTTCTCTGTGGTTTTGGAGCCTGTCCTGGAACTAGCTCTTGTAGAACAGGCTGGTCTCGAACTCACAGAGATCTGCCTGCCTCTGCCTCCCGAGTGCTGGGATTAAAGGCATGCGCCACCACTGCCCGGCTAATATTTATTTTTTAATTTATGTGTGTGTGTGTGTGTGTGTGTGTGTGTGCGTGCCTGTGCCTTTTGTGTGAGTGCCCAAGAGGCCAGAACAGGGCACTGGACCCCTCGGATCCCCGGAGCTGGCCTTACAGATATGGCGAATGCTCAGTGTGGGTTCGATGACAAAACTGGGTGCTCTACAACAGGTGCTCTTAAAATCCCCCACTTTTCTAGACAAGGTCTCCTGTAGCTCAGGCTGGCCTCAGCCTCGCAGTGTAGTGGGTGACCTTGAGCTTGATCACTTCTGCTAACCTGTGGGTGGAACCCAGGGCCTCCCGTGAGCTACAGCCCCAACTGGGTGATTCAATCCTTGTCAAGCCTCCTGAGGACAGAGAGGGAGCACGGGTGCTGTTCCTCATCCTCTCTAAACCTGGGATTGCACTGAGACCCAGGCCCGGAGGTCTCTGGACTTGGAGGGGTGCTTCTGAGAAGCCCCAGATTCAGCCCAGAGGCTCTGCAGGGTGAAGGCAGAGGAAGGGGACATAGTGTGGAAGTCATGGGGCTGGTGGCGGACTCTGGCTGTTGGTGGGCCTCTCTGCATCACCTCCTGTGGCACTGCTCCTGGCAGAGATGCTGGCATGAAGGGAGCAAAGGGTCAGGCAAGCAGAGAAGAGAAGAGAGGAGGAGGCTGGGGAGAGAGCGGCGCTGGGCTGCCCGGGTTGCCCCAGGTGCTGGCACAGCCAGGGCCTTGCCTCGATGAGCTCTTCCTTGGACGTGTACTCTGAAACCACCACGTTCTCCCCGTCTGTGACTCTGGTGAGGCTCACGTGCAGCTTCCCGGTGGCAAACTTGTAGGAGTCCTCGGGCAGGACGTCGTACAAAAACTGTCGCATCATCTGTACCATCTTACAGGACGGGGACAGAGGGCCCAGGAAGGACTTCTTCACCTCAGCCAGGCCCTTGTTCAGCACTCGGAGGTACTCCTCTGTGGGGGAAATGGGCGGGAGATGCACCATCAGCCAGCAGTGCAGGACTCACAGGGATCTCCATGACGTGACCACTGCATCCCGCAGCTCACAGTGACAAGGCCTGGGGTCCAGACGCCTGGGGGACTCAGGAACAGGCCTGCCATTGTGCACAGGACAGAGGCACGAAGGAGGAAGTCCCAGGTCCCCCACAGGACAGACAGCAAACAGCTTCCCCAGCCTCCTGTGCCCATGCCTGGGGACTGCCACCAGGCCGTGTTTCTGAAAGTCTTATAGGAGTTTGCTCTGCAAACACAAATAAGATTGAAAGTCTTTACCAAGCAACAAGGGCGGTTGCTTAGAGGCCATAGACCCTTGGCAGGCCTCACCCTCACTGAGTAGCAGAAGATGACCTTGAACTCCTGATTCTATTGTCCCCCCCAATAGTCCAGGATTACAGTCTGCCCCGCAGGCTTGGTTTAATACTGTGCTCCATGACAGCCAGCTTTTTAAATTTATTTTTATTCATGTGTATGTATGTGCACATGTGTGTGTGTGGCCACAGAAGCTAGAAGGGGATGGTGAACCCCCATCTGACATGACTGCTGGGGACTGAACTCATGTCCTCTTCAAGAGCAGCAAGGGCTCTCAACCATCTCTCCAGCCCTCAAATATTGCTGTTTCTTGGTGCCAGGGATGGAACTCAGGACTTTGCACAGGTTAAGCCTGCGCTTGGCTGCTGAACTACACCACCGGTCCTTACACAAACGTCTCATGTGGAAAATTTTGCTTCAAGGTAGAGTCATGAATATGGAACAGGGACTTGTGTAGTCATGAGCTCTGCCGTGGGAGGCGGCCAAGTGGAGGTTGCATAAGCACCTTTGTCAGAGCCTTATCAACAAGATCCGTGCGTGGGCAGAACGGCCGAGTCTTACTGACTCGCAGAGCCTGGTGTTCTGAGGGCCTGGCCGTCGATCCGTGGCAGACACACTGAGAAGGTGACAGATTTGCCCAAAGTCACACATGACAATTTGGAGACAAAAGGAGGGTTTCTTCCTGTCACATTTTATAGAGCACAGATTATACAGCACCAGTCTAATCCCGGAGAGCACTCTGCTAATGTTGGGGTACCATTGCACAGATAAGGAAACTGAGGCAGGGAAAGCGTCTGTCCTGAAGCCATACAGGCAGAAAATGTTAGTTTAATGTTGTTGTTTTGTTGTCTTTTTCTGACTCCAGACCATCCCTCACCAACACCCATACTACACCTGCATTAAGTCCTAGGGACCCCATACTGGTTGTGAACACACATCACTCATGATCCTTCCTGGGCAGAGAAGGCCTGGCAGTTTCACAATTATATCCTTACCGCACACAGGCGTGAGCAAACAGCACTTCCCTCTGTGGGGGTGGTGGCCAGCAGGCAAGCCATCCTGGCGAGCGACTACCAAGTTCAGGCCAGAAGACAAGATAGACCAGACACGAGGGCTTTGGTGAATTGGTTTCACGTGGCCCAGGCTGGCCTCACACTGTGTAGCCAAGAATGACCTTGAACTCCTGACCCCTGTTCACTCCACCTCCCAGTGCACGCAGTCATCAGATGACGTGTTTAAAAGCTGTGTATTATTTATTACACACACGCCTGGACCAGTTGCCTGTACCATGTGTTTGCAGGGTCGCTCAGAGGTCGGAGTGGCGATAGATTCCCCAGAACTGGAGTTACAGGTGGCTGTGAACCGCCAAGGTGGGCGCTGGGAATCGAACCTAGGACAACCGAGAGAGCAGCCAGTGCTCTAAGCTGCTGACTCAGCTCTCCAAGCCTGTCTTTGAATTCTTCACAGGCTGCCGGAGTCACTGACCTCGCCTTCAGTGCTGCTTCAGCTTGTTCTACAGGTCTGGGGAGGAGCAGGAGGTGCCTGGGGACTGGAAGGGAATTTGCTCTGTCACCTGAAGCACACCTACTCCTGTGGGGACATGCGCCAAACAAATCAGATATAGGCAGACGTGTAGCCACAACTGTACTGTGGTCTCAGTACTCGGGAGGTGGAGGCAGGAAGATCAGGAGTTTGAGGATAGCCTGGGCTATATGATCCTGCCTCAAAAAACCAAACCAAGCAAGACAGAAACGCAGAGAAACAGAAAGTCTCGGAATTCCTCTACCCAGAAAAGAATGCCTGGTCTGTTTCCTTAGATGGCCTATTTGGTGTTTACACTCACAGGGAGCTGTGCTGAGTATTACTGGATGCACTCGTAAGTTACTGTTTAAACCTAATATATGCATGTGCCTTGCCAATAAACACCTACTTACATACTGTTTACATGTTTTGGGGTGTGGGGTATGTGTGTTGTAGATGCACCTCCCTTTGCCTGTGCGTGTGGAGACCATGATCTCTCACTGAACCTGGAGCTCACGGTCTCCACCTGACCAGCTGGTCTGAAAAACAAACAAACCCCCCAAAAAACAAAAACAAAAGCCACTAAGCCTTTAAAGGCCTGTGAGATGCCCAGTGGGTAAAGCCGCTTGCTGCCTCGCCTGACAGCCTGAGTTCTAGCCTTGTGACTTACAAGGCAGAAGGAGAGAACTGGCTCCTACAGGCTGTCCTTGCTGTCCCCATGTGCATGGACATCCACCAACAAACACTGGATTAGCTCCATTTCTGCTGCTGTGAGCAGACACTGTGACCAAGGCAACACATGGAAGGAAGGGTTCACTTGGGCTTAGGGAGAGGAATACGAGTCAGTCATGACATGGGAACATGGCAGCAAGCAGCAGACATAGTGGCCGAAGCTGAGGGCTCGCTCAGAGCTGAGAGAGAGCTAACTGGGAATGACTCAGGCTTTTGAAACCTCAGTGCCCATTCCCAGTGAGACACCATTTCCAGCAAGGCTACTTTATACCTCCTGAGCCTGCCAAACAGTTCAAACAACCTGAGACCAAGTATTCAAACATCTGATCTATGGGAGATGTTCACATTCAAACACCCCCCCCCCACACACACACACACAATTTTAGAGAATAGCCTGCCATGAGACTGGAGAGATGACTCAGTGGTTAAGAGCACTGGCTGCTCTCCCAGAGGACCAAGGTTCAATTCCCAACACCCACATAGTGATGCACAGCCATCTGTAACTCCAGTTCCCGGGCATTCAACGCCCTCTTCTGGCCTCTGTGGACATTGCATGCACATGGTGCACAGACATGCATGCGAATACACACCAGGAGGAACAATAATTCACACCCGGTTCTCTGCCCACACCCTGGATTCTCCTCTTTAGGACAAATTCCTAGAAGTGGGAAGGCAAGGTCAAAGGACTGCACGTCTTGGGCTTAACGTGCCTATTTTAACCATGGCTTGAGAACTAGAACAGGATTGGTTCTCAGTCTATGCTCACCCACCCGCTAGGGAGGGGTGTGCAGGGGATGAACAGCCGCAGAGAGAATGAAAATAGTGTTGACATTTCCAGGGTCCTTCCGTCTGAACACGGTTCAGTCTGGGAATCAGCTGTGCACCGCCCAGACACATACAGCCAGGGAGGGAGGGGGCGGCTGTCTGGTTTCTCTCAGCCTGGCGTTTGGTTCAGAATTCTCCCTTCCCGCTCAAGGCAGGCACACACCGAAAGGTCCCCGTCTTTCTGCGTCTTCTTGCTTCTCTCCTGGTTTCCGTGTATCTGTCCTCAGGGACAGACTGTCCTTCCCTCCTCTCTCACTCCTTTTCTGTCTTTTTGGTGATGGGAAGAGGAAGGGATAACTGACGTGGTTAAACAAGTCTCCTGTGGTGGAGAATCAGGCAGGTGTGATGGTTCGTGCCTGTCAGTCCAGAGTTCAAGAGGTAGAGGCAGGAGGATTGCTTCAAAGGTCAAAGCGAATCTGGTCTACACAGAAGTTCTTCAGCCATGCTCCCATGGTGAGACCCTGTCTCACTCAAACAGTGAGAGAAGCAAGGGGGGGGGGGGGCAAGGGAGAGAGGAGAGGGAGAGAGAGAGAGAGAGAGAGAGAGAGAGAGAGAGGGAATGGATTAAGTTCTGCCACTGCGTAGCCCTGACTGTCCTGGAACTCACACTGTAGACCAGGCTGGCCTCGAACTCACAGAGATCCGCTTGTCTGTGCCTCCCAAGTGCTGGGATTAAAGGCCTGTGCCACCACCACCCAGCCAGCCTTCACTTCTTTATAAGTCCTTGGCTTTCCAGCACTTTCTCCCATCCAGTGGCCTCTGTGGTGATTCCTGTCATCACCTAGAGAGGATCTAGAGTCACGTAGCAGATAAACTCCTGGGCATGTGTGTCAGGGAAATTCTCGGTTGAATTCACTGAAGGGGAAAGATCCACTCTGAACGGGGGCAGAGCCCCTGTGAGGCCTGGGGTCCTGGGCTGCCTACGAAGGAGGAAGGGAACCAAGCACCAGGGTCCACCTTCCTCCCTCTGCTTCCTGACCAGCTGGCTCAGGTTCCTGCCAGTCAGGATGGATGGAACCTCACACTGTGAGGTACTGTGCGCTCTGCTCAGCAAACTCCGGGTTAGCTGGCTGCCCCCACGCAGTCCCCACTGGCCGCATCTACTTCTGTTCTCTGGGGGTGGGGGCTGTGAAGCCTCCCCCTCTTCTCGATGGCCTGTCAGGAGGCTGTCTCCACACAGGTGTTCAGGAGCCTCTCAAAGAGACTGGGAATCCTCCAGGGCCGACATCCTGCCACCCAGCCAGGCTCTAGGATGGTGGTAGGTGCTTGTGTTTGTCCAGCAGAGAGAACACCAAGAGAAAAGGGACTGTTTCTTGACTCCACAGTGAAGACGTCCGGCAGGAAGGTCACCGGGGCAGACAGGTAACAGAACTGATTACAATATACAGCGCCATACATCCCAGGCTGGCCTCAAACTTACTATATTGTCAAGAATGACCTTCAACCTTGATCCTCTGCCCTGTATCTCCCAAGGGATGAGATTACTGGAGGAGGTACTATACCCAAGAATCAATTGTATTGACTCCTGTGGTCACCTTGGGCTTCATAAGTGCCGGGAGCTTCAACAG